AACCTGAAAGCTTTATGATTGAGCAATCATGTATTTTGATGTCCTGCAGGAAAACATCCTAGGATACAGTGAGTGTCAAAAAACCCCAACCGTGTAACAGGTAATATTGCAGTCATTCATTAGAAATGGTGCAGAGCACTTCAAACCTACCCCTGCAGTATCATAGAATCACAGAATGGTTGGGGCTGGAAAGGAACGTTGGAGGTCATCCCATCTCCCTGTTCAAGCAGGGCCACCTACAGCCAGTAGCCTGGGACTATATCCAGATGGTTTTCGGATATCTAAAAGGATGGAGACTCCACAACCTCTCTGAGCCACCTCTGCCAGTGCTTAATCACCCTCGTAGTAAAAAAGTGCTTCCTTATGTTCAGACAGAACCTTCTATGTCTGTGCCTGTTGCCTCTTGTTCTGTCACCGGGCACCACCAAAAAAAGCCTGGCTCCATCTTCTTTACACTGTCCCTTCAGATATTTACGTACAGTGATAAGATCCTCCTGAGCCTTTTCTTATCTAGAAAGAAAACTTTCTATTCTGCATTGCTGTCTACAATCATGGCCCATGTTATAAGCATCACCACAAATTTTCACTGACAGTTATTTGCCCCATCCCTTTTTAATCTAGCCTACTATATAGGCTCTTCTGTAACAGAGCTTAAATACGGTTCAAGATGAAAGGGCTTGTCTTAATAAACCGAGTTGAAGCTGACAAAAATATGTTTAAGGGTTAGCCTTACATATGAATAAAATGTATATATATATCTATACAGCAGACATAGAATATGGTATGTAAGACCCAACACTGGGACACAACTTATTATGAAACTAAGAAATTACAGCTTTCATGATAAGATTTTCTTCCCAATTTCAAATATTTTAGAGGATCTGGTTTTCAGAAAATGTTGAGCACTTTCTGGTCTTCTTTTCTCTTTCAAATGAGACTCTCACACTTCAAGTACCCCAAAATATCACTTCAGACAATGAAACTTTGTCTTCGAATATCTGTCGTATAAATAGGTATACAAGGTTCTTAAGACGGGATGTTGTTGTTCTGAATTTAGTAGACAGGCCCTTGATAAATAGCCACAGGTAGAGTTGTTTACAAGTCTGTTTCCACTACGAATCTGTTTAGCTTTTGTAAAATAAAGCTAGAGCTGCAAGGCAAAAACTGCTTTATTCTGGGAACTGAAGTGTACATAAATAGTAGAAAACCAGTAGTTCCACTCCAAACCATTAATTCCCAAAAACCTATTTTTATTATCTACCTCATTCATGCTGTGCAAATTGTGCATATCAGTGAACATGCAATCTTCACACCTCAAACATGGAGCTACATGCTTTGCTTCACTCAGGATTACTGCAGCTGCAAAAAAGAAAAGGCCTGAAAACACCATTAGTAGAAACTAAGTATAAACCCAGCCAGGCACCAGAATATGGTTAGTGTTATACTCATTTTACTCAGATATCAACTCAAATTCAGACTACATTCAATACTTTTCAGTTTGCCAGTCAGTTCCAATTACAAGAAACAGCTGTTTAGAGCATTTTATAGAGTCATTTGAAAGCTCTATATTTAATCTGGATAATTTATACTATTTGCTAGAGCATTTGGTATTACTTTCAATTATGAACATTGTCTTCTCAGAATATAAGTAACTAGTACAGACTTGGCCAGCTCTTCTGCTTGCGCAAATTGATGCAGCTCCATTGACTTCAAACGGAGCAATTCCAATTTAGTGAGGAAACAGTGTGGGCTACAGCATAGTTACAACAGCTGTCTTTCCTGAGGTACAAACCCATCTGAATCCATGGCAGTGAGCATGGAGCTGCATGCTGTGGTAAGGCTTAGAGACCTGAACTAATCCACCATTTCAGAAAGCCATTCTTAATCTCCAAAGTGTAGCCATGGAGTTGTATACATACATATGCACACGTTTGTGTGTGTAATGTATACACACACGTACGTATCTAACATGATGCATGTTTTATATATGTATGTGTTTACACATATGTTTTTTCTTTATATGTTGCACTAATTCTCAGAAGGAGAATGCAGGACTCTTTTGATTGATTATCATGTAATGAGGATAGGAAAATAAAAGAGGCTGCACAGGCCCTGAACTCATGGTTTACACAGTTAGTGAAAGAATGCTTTCTGTGCAATGTAATAAAGGGTGTGGGCCTGTAGTCATACCCCAAGACACATCCTCCTCCCTCCCATGTTCTTTAGATATGCAATGTATAATAGCATAATAATATAATAACAACAAATACGATATGAAGAAATACACAGTAAAATGCGGGGGTTTCACTTTTTTGAAAGCATTTGCTAGGCATTTTCTTACTTTTTTACTTTTGAAAGTCAGCAACTTCTTAATTCATTAAACTGTTCAAATCTTGACAATTTCAACTCTTTAAATTATTTTTTCCTTGTACCAACAGTAAAAGAGACAAGAGAAACATCCCAGAAAATTATGATATTCAGAGTATGCTAGCCAGTTATTACTAATACATTGGTCCTATTTTTCTGAGAAGCCATGCCAACTGGAACTGTTACTCCTAGAGCATGCAGTTCAGTGTGCAGCTGGTAAGAATTCTGCTTCTCATTTTACCTCTTCTGTAACTTCCCCACAGATTTTTTGTCCAGTGAGTGCAGTATACTGTCCTTAACAGCAGCCATTACCTGGTATTGACACCATGGTGCAGGAAACTTTGATCAACTCCAAATACAGTGAACTCAAAGATCTTTTAATGACTTCAAGTGAATCATTAAAAAGATTAAGATGAAACTTTCCTGAAGGCAGGTCAACTTTCAGGTTCTGTCTCTGACTCAGTTTAAGTACTGTCTCATATGTGAACAGTAATACAGAGGAGAGTGAGATTGCCTTTGAATTTTGTCAAAAGGTGCCATCTAACTATTGTATTTTACAATCTGAGAGAAAAAAGAATGAATACATATTCATATTTCATACACTAGTTACTATTTGCTACTTCTGTTTGGTAACTTGTTTGCTGTGCTCTTGAAATATGTATTGCTATATATTGTTATGGCAACTGACGGTTGCATTGTTCTTGATGGCAGTTCACTTCTTTCATGTACTTTTTGTTGTCTGTGTATCACTTGAAAAATAATCAATCACCTTCTAGATTCTAGATGACCTGCTGGATGATACAGCCTGTTTAACAGGTACACTGAACTGCTGTGTCTCATACATTTCTTTTCTGAAATCAAGATAAACAGTACAAATAGTACTGCCTGTTTACTGGAGGGGATGATACTGTCTTACATTCTATGTTGCCTGTTTCAAAGCTACGTATGTTTAACTCAACATGCAGTGAGGTAATTGTAGCAGTCCATTTCAACAAGCGTCTATGTGTCATCCTCGTGTAAAAAAAAGGTCTACACGGCCCTTTGATCACCATCTGCTGTCCCGTCGCGGTACTGCAGGGCTTGGCAGCCTGTCTTCTCCCGCAGAGCTGCAAAGCTCACTAACTTCCCGGAGAGACAATGCCTTCCAATACTTAGAGCTGGACTTATATTTGAACCGTGATTTTGAATCCCCTATATAACGCTCATAAAATTTAAATGGAAAGTAAATTAAAAAGTAATTCTGAGATAAAAACTAAAAAGTATCTGAGTGAAATAGGCATCTCATGAAAATATGTAGATTTTGGGTATAAGGTTGATTCCAGGCCTTACTTTGGCTCCTTTGGCACCACCTCTTACAAGTTACACAGTTGTGTGCCTAGGTTGGTATATGGAGATGGTAATTCTGGTCGTTTCAGAGAAAAAAATCTGAAAAGCCAAGTTCGACAAATATGCATGGAAGTTTGTTTATCCTATACCAATCAATGACTGGGAATCCATTACTTTGAACAGATGTGAAAAATACAATTAAGAGCAGGAAGAAAGAGGATATGGGGATCAGACCATGTGGAAAAGAAGTAGTAATTAAAAAGGAAAGTAATAAAAAGGCAAAATAAGGCTCTAAGAAATGACTGAAGGTACAGACAGAAGGCAACGATGAGAGGAACAGAAGCTGTGCTCTTTTCAGCAGCAGCATTAGTAGACACTTGCATTGTAGCTAGAAATGACAAAAACACACCCTGAATCTCAGTAAGTGGATCCAAGAGCAGAAAAAAATTACACTATTACACTAACACAAGAAAAAAAATATTTAAAAATTATTTTTTGTACTGTGTAGTGAGACAGTGTTTCCCTAAGTCCATACTGTGATACTACAGTGAGGTATTTAGGATAGAGCTATAGAAAGGATCCATTAAATTTTGTTTGCCACTCTAACACTAGAGTTATTACACGTATAAGCTGCCTCAATTGTATCCTGTGGGCTATGCCAATCAGGCTGTGGTCAGCCAGCAGAAAATTCTCTCACTGAAGAAGAGTCTTTGCTGGCTTCATGGAGCAGTGTTTGGGGAAATAAAAGGGTTTGTTGTAATAGGTATGCTTTTTGCCACAACTTAGGCTACAGGCCACATCAGACTGGAGCATAGGCTGTCATTAACGTTCAGTGAGATGTTCACTGTGATTCCAGACCCTCTACTGAGCAGAACTGAAAATCAAGGTGGAGTCCTTCATATTTAATATATCTCCTGGACTGCCTAGCACCTTACATATGTAATAATATTTCACTCTTGATGCCCTTTTGCATTTTAAATGTATGAAAAAGTCTGTAAAGGAAAACCTCTCCAGGAATTTCTTGAAGGGGGATATCTCACTTGTTGCTTCATAGACAGGATAAAAGACCCATATTTCTGACTGGCAGGTTTTTTCAGCTGCCACAGCCACTGACAAGCTTTGTGTCAATCTCTCCTCCCTGTGGTCACCACATGACTGAACAGTGCTTCCCCAGCACAGCTATGAAATTGCCCCTATGACTGAATGGTTTGGGACCCTGACAATAGTTGCATAGAACATACACAGCTACACAGCTCAAATCTGTTTTGGGTTTTGGATATTTTTGTCCTTGTAGGGAATGGAGACTAGAGCAAAAGGCTTTTCTTGCATAAATCTGTAGTGTGAAACTCAATTTATAATGAATGTTTGGCATACAGTTCTTAAGTGGACATGAATTTTCATACAGCAGAATTTGCAAAGTTGGAATTTTACATCTAAGGGTAATCAGATATTTTTGTTAGATTTGACCTGTGCTAGGCTTTGCATAGTGGGTAGCCATCACTGCAGTACTTCACATCTCTTCATGTTTGTTATATTGGTACAAGATTATTTGAAGAATCATTCAAGGGCTTTGGGGGAATTATGTTGGTTATTGTTAACTGTGCATTAAATATATAAACCTTGATTTAAAATTGGTTTAAAAGTTGATGCTATTGATATCAACAGGACTGGGATTCTAAATGTTAAATGCATCGAATCAGAATTTGGAGAAATTGTTGCCTTAATTCCAGGCACCTTAAGCTCACTGTTTGTCATCCTAATGCCCTTCTGTTTGATATTTACTTCTTTGGACATTGCTACCTCACTCCTTCTGCAAATCCGTGTTAGCATTGATGTCATAAAGTAAGCAGAATGAATGTGTGAAATTGCTTGTAAAATTATCAAATGAAATGAATAGCAAATATGATGACTTTTTTTTTTAAGTTGAATAAGGAAACTGTCAGCAATGATGCACTCTCATAATGCTTACTAGAGCTGAACAGTATATATATAAGTCTGTGCAAAAGAGGCAGCTAGGCAGATCTCGGGATCCTCAAGGCTTGCCATAGTTCCAGAAGAGAGAGTAGCAGCTCTTTCTGCAACTGCTACATATCACTTCAAAGTATAAAAAGGTAAGATTTATATGAACTAACTGTACAATCTGTTTGAGAAGGCTAAGTGCATTATCTGAATTGTATTGCCCAAAGTTTGCAATAGAGGTGCAGGATCTTTTGGCAAACTGGTGTTTTCTTCTGTGGTTATACTCACTGATGTTTGGAGTTAATGACATCATCATTTAAATCTTTTAATGTATTGAATAGTTCAACAGAAACTTATCCAAAAAAGGGAAATCAACTGTTTGGGTTGCAGAAGCAATTGAAGAAAGGAAGATTGACCATGAGAACATGAAAGACGTGCATTGTAGTAAGACTTTCAACATGAGATAAATTATTGAGTTTTGTATTTTTATCTCCTTTAGTATCTCCTCTAGAAATATTTAATGAACATGAATTTAAAAATACTCACTCCTTACAGATACTGCCTGAATTTGAATCAACAGGGATTAAATTAGCAGAATGCAAACAAATTAAGTGGGTTTATACAGTCACTGATTTAAAACTCTCCAAGGTAGATTGTCACTCCACCACTCTAGAGATTGCCACTCCACTGCCCAACTTTTAGATTAGTTTGTCTCAAGTAACTATTATTTTCATATCACTGTAAAATCTGAAAGGGAAATTTTATAGCACAAAAGTAAAAATTACAGCCTTTCAGTACTTGCTGTGATTACTGTGTAAAGTTTAATTTAGTCTTCCATCCTACTATGGAAATCCTTAGACCAGAACCATTATATGTTATAGAAGCTTCCACGAGGCATTATAGCATGCTAGGTAAATTAGATGTAAAATACATATATCTGCAAAAATTATTTCTTTATAATTAGAAATAATTGCTATTTGCAAACAGTTTCATGTCGATGGGAATCTGTTTTATTAGCAGTATCTACTGGTGACCTGAATAATGTAGAGCAAATAAAATCTTTATTCTGATCAGGAAGTGAACTGATTAGCTAAAATAAACTAAACAAATATAATCTTGCTGATCATCTCTTTTTATCTACAAAACATGTTTGGGTTCCTCAGAATAAAATAACAATTTCTTCTTTAAATACTGTAGCTTCTTTAACTTGTCAGAAAAATGTTGTTACTGGTTTGGGTTACCAATAGCAAGCACTAAACATTGAACAAACAAAATTGATTCTTAATTTTTAAAAGAACATATTTTACAGAAGTTTAATACCTTTTGAAAATGCTTTTTTCATTAATAATGATTCTCTTACTTGAAAGTGTATTAATTTAAGAAATAATGTATTTATACATTTTTCTTGTTAGTAATCTCCCCAGGTTTCGATTCTGAAAAATTTGTGAAGCTGAACATGCATTTAATTTTAAACATATTCTTAAGTCATAAAGTAGCCAGTGGGACTGTCCACACCTGAAAGCTGTATGGGACTGAGGCACAAGAGTTAGATCCATGATATATTGAAATCACTAACAATCTGTTTACTGATTACAGTGGGCTTTGAATGTGTTTGATTACAAATTTCACACAAAATAATAGCTTTGGTATCTGGTATTACTATAAGGAGGCTGGATTAATGACTAGACTTTTCCTCTCATTCCCCCTCAGTGACTTAGGTTTATGTCTAATCTGTATCATGGTTTAACAAAGCTACAGGCAGCTGTAAACTGTTTTTCTTCAGCGTTTTAGGTTAAGTAAATTATACCAAAGTGCTAGCATACTCTTAATCAGGGAAAATTTATTTATGTATGGTGCAATAACCAAACCCTATTTGGTATCTGAATTAATTAATTTGCAGCCATATCAGCTAGCATGGGGGTCACTACATTACAAGCAAACCATTTTTATAACCACAGCAGTGTCATCTCCCAAAGAATAGGCAGAGCTTTTGTTCCATTGTTGGAAGCCTACAAAATGTGAAATTATGCATTCTTTGGGATAGACATTGGATGTCAGTGTTGCACCACCAAATTACAGCTCCAAAGAAAGAGTGTTCAATACTATAGTTAGGGATATAATAGGACTAACTAGATGGCCACTATGGTATTTGTTGGTACAATAGCAGGATATGTGCAAGTGTAGGAATCAAATTTCATATATCAAGACATTACAGAAGGCAGAAAAGAGTCTCTATTCACATTGATGAAAAAATGAGCAACACTGGCAGTGGCTTCTGGTGGAGAGAGGGAAATAGACTCCATTGCACTATAGTCCAATAAACAAAAATCTCATATTCATTGATTTATTTACCTTGTTTTAAGATCTTATTAATATTTTGATTGCTTTAAGTATTTTGATACTGCCTCTGACTTATTCTAGTAAAACATTTATATTATTCATTAAGATTCTTTTAAAAGTTAGGCCTATCAGTGTACCAGAAGCAATGCACTCTTCCACACCACTGGTAAAATACCTGCCAACAGTCAAGCTTCGCAGCTCCAAATATAAGTTATTTTATAATAGACAGAAGAAATAGATTTCTTGAAAACCTGCTTTGAAACTGGGCAGACTACTGGGGCAGTAAGGTTTTTGATGCAGGAGTTTACTTTTCAAGTGATGTTCATCTATAGCTATTCTCGCCCTCCTGGTTTCACTGCTCAGTGCAGAGCCAACCCTAAATCTCAAGACAAAGTAACCTGCACCTTCTCTACACACCATTCCTTCATAACTTTCTTACAGCTTCCTCCAGGCCATAGGATATTTAAATTCAGCCTATTGTGACAACACAGTAAAATAGAGAACAGATATGTTTTTACTCAGACTGCCTTATTTTTATACATCATTGAATTTCAATCAGTAACCCCTTCAGTGGAGCCGGAGGGGTTCAGCACAGATTACATTTAGTGGGGCGGGTGCTTTTTGACTGGGTCTTACTTTGCCATCTACCACTTTACTTCAATGTACTCATGTTTTCTATGTCCCTTTGTTTTTCGGACTGTACTATAAAACTCTATAGGAAAGTGTCGTGGGTGGCAGAAGGGCTCTTTCAAATACACAAGTATCAGGCCAAGTACATGATGAAATTATTTCCAGTGACATTTTGCTGATGTGAACTCATTGCAACTTCTGTTGCTTTACAGCTGATTAATATTGTGATCCATACTGCTTTTAAAGTTAGAATTTACTATTCATCACTCAGTGAATGAGCATTTGCCATCGAATGAATAGCATATTCAATTTCTTTATCAAGGTCAAAATTACCTACCTAAATTTTAAATTCACTTCCCTTTCTACATATTCATTCCATAAATTTAAGTGATCCAAAGAATTAAAAATCATTTTTATTAATTTTGTAAGTAGATTTCCTCTCACTTCCTGTTTATTTAAAGTGTTTTTGAGTCTATCAGTCATTAGCTGCTCATAGTCCCTTTTGCACAGGGTTTCATGAGCCTAAAATGAATAGCATTTCTTTGTTCAACAGAGTTTTTCCTATAGGGCACCATGTGCCAACAGACTAATAATACTACATTACGTAATGAAAATGGTAGCACACATAATTAAGGGAATAGATAATGCCTTATTCCCATTGGTGACTATTCACTAAAATCTATAACCATACTACTTGTATGAATAAACAAATCATTAATGCAAGTAAGGGATTTGGCTGTGGACCACCAAAGCATTTGTACAGACTGTAATACTCAGGTTTACACTGAATAATCTCACATTAAAGTCCATGAGACTAGTCAAGTTATTACAGCGCACATGGTGAAGACACATATAATAATGTGGCCATTTCTGTTACATGGTTGAAGCCAATAGAATGACCTGAAACAGTAAGAATTACATCTGGGATACAGTATTTTTTGGTATGATTTATAACCATTAACATGAAGTATATACCCTATATCTTTTATATCCTACATAGCCCCATAATGGAAGCCCTTAAGCTGAAATAAATGTATTATGACAATAGTGCAACAAGCAAAATTTGACATACCATGTAATGAATTGAGCACAAGCCGGTGTGTGGCTTGGTAGTTTGGTTTTTTCTAAGAAATTGAACTTATCAATAAGTCATTATTAAGTCTAGAGGCCTACTACTGCAATTTCTGTTATTTCAAAACAAACTTTTAAAAGGAGGGCGGAGGCCCAGAAGAATGCTGAGCAGCTAATGCAACAGTATCCTTGACAAAGATTTGCTTTGTTTTTACTCTAGCAAATAAGCTGAAAAAAAAATGAAACTAGTGCAAATACCCTAGTTTTGCAAAAAACCCAGTATTATTGAGAGATTTAATGCTTGCAATCTGCAGAACACAGAGCAAAAGAGATACAGACCTTTATCCTCATATTACAGAAGTGAGGATGCAACTACTCTAAGCTCACCTTGCAGTCTAGAATAGAGACTAGAGCAGAGACTGTACCTTTTGAATGCCTACCCAAGGCATTGCAGTGTCTATTCACTGGACACAGACCCCAACCTTACAGGGTCTCAATATCTGCAAGTTTAGATCACCATTAATGATGTCTCTTTTCAGTGTAATTGATTCAGACATATGTAAAGATGATTACATATTTCCTTGTTGCCTTATTTGTTTCAACAGGCAATGAAAATGAAAAGCATTTATTTTGTTGCTGGGCTCCTTTTAATGATAGTTCAAGGCAGCTGGCAAAACCCTCTTCAGGATACAGAGGAGAAATCAAGGTAAATTCTTTAGATCAAACTTCTAGAAACACTTGGGCTGAACTTTGTTTTCTTACAGTTTTAAGCAAAATATACTATGACTTAAAGTTTTTTTTTTTTGTATACTATTTCACAATACTTCAGCTACCATCGGAACTGGCAAAAGTTTTTAATATTGCAAAGTATAGCACAGACATTTTTGGTATTATAAACAATAGCTGCCTTAGTTACCCAAGATGATCTTGTAATTGTGCAGTATTGAATTTGCTAACTTAATTCAATTTACTAGCCAGCTAGTGATCAATATGCCACTTGCTTTCACTCTGTGAGAGCTTAAAATAGTATTTTTAGAAGAGAAGTCAACGCACCTGCAAAATGTATTATAAGCATTGCCAATTAACAAGTACTACACTTTTCACAGATCATTCAAAGCTTCCCAGTCTGAACCACTAGATGAATCTAGACAGCTGAATGAAGTGAAACGTCACTCACAAGGCACATTCACCAGTGATTACAGCAAGTACTTGGACACTAGACGAGCTCAGGACTTTGTGCAATGGTTAATGAGCACTAAAAGAAATGGGTAAGCATTTTGGTCACATTGCTATAGAAGTCCATATACAGACAGAGATAAAAATCTAGCTGAATTCAATTTCTTGATTTTAACTTCCCATCACAGACCACGTGTAATCCTCAAGTACTTAAGGGAAGTTTACATATAATTTTATCATAGTATTAGAAATGGGAAATACATGCAAAATCCATCGAAAGGATTTGGATAAACTGAGTGAGTATTACCTGATACACCATCTAAAAGACAGCCTATTTGGGACAGATTGTTTCAGTGAATTAAGTTAAATAGGAACAAGATATGTAAATATCATGTAAAAGTCTGGGCCATTAGGCCTTAATAAAACTTTCCTGTCTATGGATGCTCTAATCCTGAAGTTTTGTTTGTGAAAAGGAAACTGAGGTTTAAAGTTTTGTTGACCACTGGATACTTTACCACTATCACAAGTATACTGTTGGCATGTTTTTGAAAATATACTTTGATTAAACACAAGCTGTCAACCTGAGAGCAAGAATAATGTAAGAGCATGTAAGTCTGTGCCCTCTTTTCTAGAGATTTGCCCACAGAATCAACAAATCTGTGATACTAATGCTTTTAAATCTCTGAGGAAGTCTTTAAAGAATAAGGTAACAATTTCTAGATATTGTATCAATTTAAATCCATAAACCTGAACTTATTTATAATATTTCTCTATCGGTCATGGTTGTTTATCATAATATTTAAATAATAACCAATAAAATCTCATCATCTTATGCATGCTCTGCAATATATTGGTAATAATGATCTAATAATTGTGGAATTCCACTACAGCCAACAAGGACAGGAGGCCAAAGAAAATGACAAATTTCCGGACCAGCTCTCAAGGTATTCTAGTTGCCATAACTTGTTACTCAAAAAGATTCTGAGATAATTTTCTGTTAAACAAGAAAGAAAACAACTAGTATTCTTTACAATGTTACCATAATCTAAGAAATACCTATCAAAAGATATCATCTCACCTGCTTTTTAAAAGGAAAGAAGATACGTCTCTATGTTATTTATTCCTATACCTGTGTTCTATAGCTGTGTGCAGTGGCTTTGAGGAATGCAACAGGATGAGAACAGATTTCAGAAAAGGACGTTTCAAGTAATAAAGTTGATTAGAGAATAACCTAAAGAGAAAAACCTGGTATATAAAAAGGCTATATCAAGAAGAAAGAAAGAAGAAAAAAAACAAACAAAAACAAAAAACCACCAAACAACAACAAAAAATTCTGTTGAGGAAAAGAAAACAAGTGAGAAGACTAATGAAAGGAAAATGGCCAGGCACCAATTCGCTGAGAGCTGATAAAACACAATACAATGCTCAGCCCTAAGCACTCAGTCCCATGTTACATAAACTACTCATTACAGGAAAGGAGAACATAAGACCTGCTGGAGGCCAGAATTTTGTTTCTTGACAATGTTTTTGGAGAGTGTTGGGTAAATTGGAAATTTGAAACAAATAAGACAGAAACCCCACGTTTTTGCTAACCAGATTGAAATGACTGTGTTAATTCTTCCTTTTGTCAGAAATTCCAAAGACCATAGTCTGGATCGCAAAGATCATTCCGTTCAAAACACTGTCAGTATCAGTAACAAATCTGTAATAATGTTTCAGCTTCAATGGAACAGCATATCTCAACAAAATTAATGTTTCATTTAAAACATTCCAAAAACTCTAGTTAGCATGCTGATAAAAAGTGCAGATGGTACTAAATTAGGAGGAATGGTGAAATCCCAAGAAGATAAAAAATTATAGAAAGATCTAGAGGCTCTGAAAATCAGACAGAAATTACCAAATTCTGAAATACAAAAGCTAGGGAACTTATTTGTGGAATATATTCCATAATATATCTACTTCTAAGTGCAGCTTGTTCTCCTAAGGGCCAGTGTGACATAATTTGTGCTATGTCAGAGAAAGAAGAACAATAAGGTGTAGGGGAGGAAAAAGCAGTTGTCTTTCTCTATTAAGCTGAAGGTGATAAGGCTTGACATTGTTCCAAGATTACCACTTGGTCAGATTGATGATTAAAAGGGTGTTCACAAAACATTCAAAATGCAAATTCAAAAGGAATTATGTCTCAACAGACTGGCTAAGAAATAATGAAAATGAAGGTAGGAGTGGCTTAATGGAAATTTTCAGGTTAACACAAGAGGTAACAAAAAGTATGTCTATATAATACAATACAGATTGTTGATCACAGCTAATTAATCTAGCAGATGATCATTACAATGCAGCTATAATTGCTTTCAGTACCTGATTTGATTTGTTCAGAACTAGTTCAGGCATCTCTGCACAAGAGTGTTGCATAGCACAGGCAATGCCCTCAGAACTGCAATATTACCAAGAAAAAAAAAATAATTAAGTAATTTGAGAAGTGAAAAAAAAAAACTCTCATAAGAAATACTAGTCTGGTGGGTGGGAAATATAAATCAATAAAAGTTAAAAGAAAAAAGAAAGTCCTTATGCAGTCTGCTCCTACAGTATTGCTCTTCTTTCAGCAATGCAATCTCCAAGCGTCATGCTGAATTTGAAAGACATGCTGAAGGCACCTATACCAGTGATATCACCTCTTATTTGGAAGGTCAAGCTGCCAAAGAGTTCATTGCTTGGTTAGTGAATGGACGAGGAAGAAGAGAGTAAGAATCCATTCCTATTACTAAATTTTGCTTTGCTTTTGGGGTTAGAAATCATGTCTGATGAAACCTTGATGTATTTTTGATCATTCTTGCTGTACTTAATGTTCTTCTTTTGCAAAAGAAGGTATTCTGTGGGTGTTAGGCTATCACTTTACATTATTAAGTTTAAATACAGATTAAAACAACCTGTTCATTATGCTGTTACAGTCCAAAAGGTCAAGTTATACTGAAGGTCAACGTACCTAAAACTAAACCTGTAACTTCCTCTACCACCTTCGCCCCTTCATATAACCTTGCTTAGAGTCTCTTCATCTATCACTGAGTTGATTCAAGTCAGCATCATCTTAAATTACGTTCTCTTTATTTCCCTTTCACAGTCCATCTTTTCCCCTGCAATGTTTCCAAGATGAAATTTTTACAATGTCATCAGCTATATTCCATATGCAGCTGATCATTCTCAGCAGTAACTGATGACTTCTTTTCCTCTCCCCATGCTCCACAAAGTCTCCCCAAGTTGCTGCTGCCAAAATAACTACAACTTCCCACAACTATGACTTATTTTCCTTTTTAAGACAACTCTACTTCTTTTGCTATAGTTCACAGTTTCCTGGGCATAGTGCTCCACAGTTTTGACCTACCTATGCCTCTGGTTTCTTTCATTAGTATCTTATTCTTCACATACTCATTGCAGATTTCTCTAGTCTATTCACTTTATGTACTCACTCATGGCTTTACATCTATTTTCATGTTAGTCTTAAACTTACAATGGCATCACCTTCAATCTCCTGCAGACACCTTCTATCTCATCTGTCTCCAACTCTGCATTTTGGGAGCTGCACCATGCCCATGACACTCCCCAATTTTTACCTGGTCTGTACTTATTTGTGCCTTTAGACTGTAAGCTCTTCGGGGCAAGGATTTCAGTTCATCCTCTGATTACATATTCTACCAGCTGTAAAGTACTATGTAAGCATCATATAAAAATAATAATAATAATAACAATAAAATACAATATGTAAGACAAGATTGTGTGTTGTAGTCAAGGAAAACTAAATAGGTAGAAGTAACTTTTGTAAATAATGATGATTTCCTGAAAACACAGAGTTAAATAAATGAGGTCAGCTGTCAGCTATATATATATATAGAATGGAAAGGCTGGTGCCACTTCATAGTGATGTTGAGATTTGCAGTTCTTTTTTTGTCATGTTTTATTTTCATAAGCAGAAATAGGGTATTTCAGTATCTGTAAGAGAAATACAACCTAGCTGTGGTGAACTGAGCTTAGAAACCTAGACAGACAATTAAATGTAGACCATCCTTCTACTTTCCAATACTTAGTATTTGTGGACAAACTTGTATATAGCCTTCCCTGAAATTATTGCATGAAAAGAACTACTCTGCCTGTCATTGGTCCCAGAGCAGTGTGCTTCAGCATCAGCCCACCTTAATGGAACCCATTTAAATATTTGTATATTTAATGGGATGAAACAAGAGAGGAAAGTTTCTAAATCAGGTTCTTGGCATAATGGTTTTCCAGTGGTCAAAAACGGATAGTGCAAGAATCCGGATCTGATTCCAAATATAAAATGCTTTTGTACAGCAAACAAGCATACAAATTTTATACCAGTGCTGTAACTAAGTTATTTTAACCCCCCAAAAAAGCTGCTGTTCTTAATATCTAAACACTTATGCAGTATAATTCTAAGTATGTAACTAGGACTGGAGTTCAATTGAAACAGGGGAAAAAAAAAAAGTCTGAAAATATGACTATATGCTTTAGTAGTGATATTTCTTAAATAATGATTCTTAGTAAATATACTGTGAGTTTTATTGATGTGTAGTCTGCTGGGCATAAGCATTTCAGACAGATACATTTTTGCACGTATGGCTTTTTCAAAAATGCAAGAAAGGAATTTAGACTCATCTGAAATCTTCATACGGTAAAGGGAGACTTCCATGTTTTATTCTATTATGAAAATAATGCCTCAAAAGATGTTCTAATATAAAACGTGCAAACTGAGCCATAACATCAGGTTCAACCCTTAACTCCTTAAAACCACTGGAAATGTGCAGTGCATTAGATCATAAGGCCCTCTTAAACAGTTTCTTTATTTCGATCTGCAAATTGATAATTTCTTCCCTTTGAAGTTTCCCAGAAAAAGCTTTTGTGGCTGAAGAAATGGGCCGAAGGCATGCAGATGGCACTTTCACAAGTGATATCAACAAAGTCCTTGATGACATGGCTGCCAAAGAATTCCTAAAATGGCTGATTAATACAAAAGTTACCCAAAGGTGCCTAAATTTTGATTGTTATTCATAATATATTGTGGGTTTAAATGTATCTGTCACACATAGAGAAAGTACTGCTAATTTTTCTCTTAACTATAGACATACCTGTGACTGTGTTACAAACTTTGTTACAGACAGTGCTTAACAAGGATAAGACACAGAAGTCTTTCCAAATATAATTTGCATTTTCCATCAGTGGTGAATCTATTTAATAATTTCCTGTGTAACCTGAGGGGAGGTTTGCCACGAATGTTACCAGAAGTAAGGTCATATTAAATTACTGAAAAATAAAACTCTCCTTTGCATAGGCATTATAAAATCAAGAAATATTTATTGGTAAAATTACACCAAATTGATTATTTTTAAAGGCTGTGATATAAAACATCGCCTTAAATTGTAGATTGTCATTAGGGAATGGGGTACTATAATGTGAGTTCCTGATAGATAACTAATTAAGAACCCTGCTTTAGTATGCCTGTATACAGGCAAATGCTGTTGGCAAAGCAGCATTTTCTATGGGAGCTCTGTGAACAGTTTAATATTTAAGATTTATTTGTTAACATTAACAAAGCATTTCAAAAATAGTAAAATGCCAATTTAAGGCACATGTGTGTGCCCAAATTTTTTAAAATGTTGGATGTCCACTCTGTAAAAATAAATTACTTTTGGTCTTTGGACTACTACCGAAGCACCCAAAATGATTAGTTGATCTTGGAAATCTGAAACAACCAATATCTTCTCAAAAAACATTTAGAAACTATAGTTAAAATACAGGTTTTATTAACATTTTAGTATTTTGTGTGTGTGTTTATAGATCAGCATTGAAACAAACTATGAAAAAATATATTAGAAACTATTCAAAAGCTTTTCCTTTAGGAAATTTTTTTTCAATCTGTTATTAGAGAGAGGCATTGAGGGGTCTGTGCAACTAACATCTGCGAACTCTTAAACAGAAAAAATATGTTCCACACATATTTCATAAATCTTTGGAGATTTGTAATATGTCCTAATTGCTGCTGCTTTTTTTCCAGGGACCTTTTGGGAGAATACCAGTAAAAATGCAGAATAAAAATGGGATAAATGAAGATCTTCATTGCATCAACTGCCAGTTATTAAGAGATTCTGAAATCTGTATTCTGTCATTTGCATTCGGTGTAACAAAACAATGTCACCTTGCATGCCAGGAAATAATTGAATAATTGTACTATAGTTTAGTGTTGCCAAAGGTTTATATGTGGAAAACCTACTGTCTAAGGGATGGGTATCTTAACAGCTTTAAATGAAAGTTCCATATCTCTATATTTTCCATTTATTAGGACTGAAGTAACTCCATTTATATTTAATGATAAAATTATTTTTCTAAAAAGTGGACTTCTACAAACAAAGGATTCAATCACCAACTATATGTGTTATTTGTAAGGGGCTGGCAGTTACAAATGCCTGAGAAGTGAATATCCCTCTTAAAACCTTTGTTATAAAAAGGCTAAGCTTTAAGGATATTAAATGATAGCCTTAAATAAATTTTTTCAAGCTTCTTTTCTGTTGACTTTTCATGTGTATATCCGTTGTGCCTCTTCGCACTCCATTTCATTTTATTCTAATATTTTAGTGTCACTGAGATCTTGGAAGTGGTTTGTTTGGAATGATAAAACAAACTCAACATTTTGTTTTGTCACATTTTCTCCATAATGATTCTCAGACAAGAGCTGTGTGAACTTTGAATTATCTCTAGCTAAAAAAGAAATCACATAAGATGAAGCTAGAGGGGGGAAAACGAGACTGACAGACAAGTATTCTTCACTAGCATAAATTCTGGCTTCTCAGCAAAATCAGGACAGCTTTGACTCTATTAGTAGTGGAAACTGACACATAATTTCTTCAAATTTTGTAAGATTGCCAAGTAAAGCCAACTCAAATGGCTCTGGGGTCATTTTAACCTGTGTTGTGTTCTTTTCTTCTTTCTTCCTCTGGGAACTGCTTTGTCCATCACGTACTGTGTTTAGCAGCACTGTACAGTAACTTACAAAGCACAACATTCCCATAGCCTGAGCCTTCTTGTCATGGTGACAGAGCATTCGGCTTGCACATCTCAGGTTTCTAGCAATCCAAACTATTATAGTCCCAGCTGGCCAGGGCATGGTTTTGTAGGTATATGGTAATAGCTGCAGCTCTCAAATAGCCACGGGTGCTATTATGCACCTCTTACTTCTGATGACGACCCAAACCTCCTTTTCTCCCCTTGCTATAATAGCAATATGCCAGGTGTCATTAAAATGTCCTAAAGAGCAAGTGATTTAAGTGAAAGCCAGTGGGCTTACAAAGTATCTAGTAGAAGTTGATGTGAAACAGGAGTGCTGTTGAATCAGAATTAGCACCTGTGTCCATTTGTATATTAAAGGCATCTGAAACTTTCACTGACGGTCTAGAATTTCTGGACAAGTAAGATTAGATTGTCCTCCCAAAGTGCTACAGGAACCAATATTTCCTGATTTCAGATCAGGACTGATCATACCCAACTTGGCATCTAGAACAGCTTCTTCACAGCAACAGAAAGCTTTTCTAACATCCCAACTTGAAACAATTAAAACTCAATACAACCTTGCACTAAAAAAACATAGCATCCAAAATACCATTGGAGATTAAAAAGGGGGAGAGAAGAATGTGTACGTATCTGCTGTTTATTTAATCGCACTTTTACTCAGTAGTTTCATTCCAAGTGCTTCTAGAACTGAAAAAAAGCTTTAATTACACACGGTTGGGCCCATATGGTCAAGGCTGAAATGGTACAGTTAACTCTTCTATTTCCACAGATTGAGCAATCGTCTTTAAAATGTTTCCTTCCACTATGCCCAAGATATTCAGTGCTACAAAGGACAGGCTTCCTGAGTCACAAATCCATTTTCCTGTGGTGTCTGTCATCAGTGTATTTGAGCACCTCCTGATGATGGCTTTGTCAGCTATGAAAATACTGTTTTCCCACATTTTTACAAATTATATGCTTTTAAGAACAGAGGGTATAAATTAGTTTCTCAAAGTTATGCAGCTTGTCTGGAACACAGCAAAAATATTTAACCTCTAATTTTCTAAGTCCCAATCTAGAGCATGAATCAAAAGACACCCTTTCTTCAGAAGTGAGATGAAGGTGAGCATGTTCCAGAAGTTCCAAACACATGCTTTAGCTCAACAGGACTAGGACTTACACATCCTGAAATCACAGAGCAAGCCCATTTGGGATCAAAAATAAGGTACGTGCTGGATATTTCTTACACATGCTACATGAAATTCAGTGAATGTTACAAACACAGGGAAAAAAAAGTAGCAGTCACTTCTATAAAAAGTGTCTTTACTAGACAATAGCTACCCATGTCTGCAGGCTGAAAGCAGAATAGCTGCACATCCAAGCCTCGAGAGAATTGCTATTTATGTTTTAGTTTTAATTTTGTGCTCTAGTAAGGGGGAGAGACAATCACATGCCATGAATGGTACATTGTTAGAGAAATTCAGGAAGCCTGAAGCTTCCTTTTAAATAATAAATGGTTTTCAAAGTCTTCAGTCAATGGAGCAACAGCTGTCAGTTATCATGTTGATTGTATTGCCCGTGGTGCTGCTGCTTGCATGAGGGGGCTTGAACTTGCACTTGGCAAATAAAGGCAAACAAGTGGCTCCACTTAAGGGAATCATGTTTCAGGAGCATGTTTCAGCATTACCTACAGGGCTACACTCTCATCCACTCTCAGAAACATTAATCTTCCTTCCAGTCAAGGACCCAAACTGGGTATAGCTTACTAAGTTCATATGCCCTGGTGTGCGTGAAGGGTCTTAAACTGGCATGCTATAAAAGATGGCAAAGTTGCAATGCCCCTCTGCACTTGATGTGAGTTTTGCATCTAGAAAAGGGTTAGGTTATGGGTTCCATCTTATTTTAAACACATTGTAAATGTGGTTTATGGGTCATAAAAAGAGACAATCTGTCAGAGCACTGCAAGCACAATCATTACAGAAAGTTTTGGGACCACGGGTATTTTGATCAGACAGGAAGAACTTGAGATTTTTTTTTCCAAGGTGTAAAGAATCACTGCTAGGAACTGCTGCAACTAAATGGAAAACTTACTCTGCTAAATTGATTCCTACTGGATCACTCAGGTGGTTCTGAGCACAGAATCAGGTCCCATAAGCCTCTCTAGCATGGCCAGAGTCAAAAGCACTGTAGATTATTAGACATTCTGATCTAGACACAGGAACCCAGATTTCCAAAGGTACCAAAAATTGTGTACCCACTGAAACCAGCAGAAGCCAGGCATATGCTTTGTCAATGTAGGTCTTGTCTTTTTTTTCTTTTTTCCCCTTCATAGAATTAACAACTGAGAAGGACAAAAACCTTGCATACAATCTCTCAAAACAGCAATTAAGCAACTTGGCTATGAAAAGCTTGAGAACATCCAGATACATTTTATCATTACATTTATCACAAGACTGAGATTATAATCTGACTGTTCTAGACTTTGAGACACAGTGATGATCACTACTTAGACGTTTAGAAAACAAAGCAGAGATTTTCTGAATTATGTTGCAATTCCCACTCACTTGGAAAAGGGGAATTCACCCCGAAGTGTGGGGAGGTGTCTTTTTTTTTTTTTTTTGGTAAAGTGAGTGAGTGCACAGACTACCAAACAGATATTTAAGAGGGGCTATAAAGCAATCTGAAACTCTGGTCATGCATCTCACAGCATATATGAGATACTAGTTTGAAAACTAAGGCTGAAGACTTCCATTTCACTGTGATTTTATTTCATAATAGTGGACTTAATGGTACACAGAAATTAACATTAAGCTAGCTGTGAATTTGCACCATGTTAGGTCCTCCACTGTAAACATACACTGAGCTGTGTGGAACCACTATTAGGGCACATTAGTGGTATTTCTAAGGTAAATTGCTATAGCTAGCACCATATAAATTTGTACGTAGCAGTAACCACTGCCTTCAAGAGGAATAGTGTACAATAGCAAGCAGAGCATAAGACTACTTGGTAATGCTCAGCTTTTTAAACATTCATATGCTTTAGAGTTTCGACTTCCAGGTTATACTCTGTCTTTTCCACCAATTAGTCCTAATACCTAAACACATACTCAAAATTCTCCTTGGAAATGGAATTGGCTGATATGATAAACCAGGGTCATCTTCAGAGCTAGATTTTGAACCTTTACCCTGTACTTCCATTTTCTGGACTTAATTAAAAATTCCATATTGCAGACTTACATATCCACCTTTCATGCCAACAAGCAGTGCCAAATAAATAAACATCAGCCCTTCCTGCAATTTTATTAGTTTTTTCATGACTTGCTTGCCAGAAAAAGTTCAAAGAGCAGAAACTTTACAGGAAACGCTGGTGTTATCAGAGTTTAGGACCTTTGCAGTTAGCGTTCGAAGGCATTTCGCTTCCGATACCTCTGTGTGGCCGTTATCTGATTTCCTACAGAAATCTTCTAAGTGTCAAAGGTCCCTCCCTTCTGTCGTGCAACCGTGTCACCGCGCTCCAAGTGTTTGAACCGAAGGAGAAACCGCAGCTCGCAGAACACGCGAAGCTGCAAAGCCAGCAGAAAAGCCGAGATCTCGCTTAAACCTCCGGCTCCTGGCGGTACTTCCTTCCTGCCAGCGGCAGCCGTCCCCAGCTCCCCCACAGGGAAGCCCTGAGGGCAGCAGCAGGAGGAACGCAGAGGCGCAGGAGTGCGCGGCCTCGCTCCGCGCCATGCAGGTGGGTGAGGGAAGGGAGGGGGTCAGCAGACGGGGAGCGTCGGGGGGTCTTGT